ACCCAGAGGAGCTTACATCAACAATACTTACCTGGTACATTGTTTGCGTGGTGGTAAAGGTTGAATTCAACCCTTACATATACGCACACACCAGGAATCAGTTCATAGTAATGAGGTTCAGTAAGCAAATCTTAGGAAGTGCTTGTAGAATTAAAATGCCCTTTCTCCCCCTTGTCATGTATTAAAGGTAAAGGTAAAGGTTTCCCCTTGACATGAAGTCGTCATGCCTGACTCTAGGGGGTGGTGCTCATCTCCATTTCCTAGCCGAGGGAGCCAGTGTTTGTCCGCAGACAGCCTTCGTAGTCATGTGGCCGGCATGACTAAACACAGAAGCGCACGGAATGCTGTTACCTGCCCATCAAAGTGGTACCTTTTTATCTACTTGCATTTGCATGCTTTTGAACTGCAAGGTTGGTAGGATGTCATGTATTAGAAAGCAATAAGAAGTGAGCTGTTTTTAACAACATGGCAGGCAGCCATGGTCTAATTTGCCCAAAGGGCTGTTGTGTTGCTCTGTGTTCTGCAAGCCTAAGCATCAGGGGTTGCTTAAGAGTTAGTTAAGACATCCCTCAACTAACAATGAAACCAGCAGTTACCTAAGGTGCCTACATGTGTGTCCACTTGTAGTAATTCAATTCACCTTCAAGGAAAAGCAACGGCTAGGCTCAAGTTCAATTCCATTTACAGAAAAGTAGGTGCAGCTCTGCTTCGTCCGTTTTTTCTCCAGGGTATGAAAGGTGCACAGACCTGGTTCACATGATCATTGCTGTTCACTGCAACTGTCTATTGCCAAAAAGTGTTGGGCAGTTTTTCATTCTAGCTGCAGCTTGTTTTATAATCCAGATGTAGAGACCATGGGTTTAACCTTCACAAGAGGTTCCTAGATTCAGAAGCCGTAAGCCCTGGGTTGCATTAAAAAAGCCTGGCATGTGCCGGGATGTGCCATGGGTCATCATGGGATAAACAAACCACTGTGGGCTGTCCTGATGAGCCAACCAGGTGATTCTATCTGCCTCCTTCAGTTACTAGTACGCCGTCCTTTTTACTTCCCTGCTTTTGTCTTCAGACAAGGTTGCCAGCTTACAAATACAATCCTCTTTAAGTTACAATATGTGCACGGTGGGATGTGGGTGTGAACATTTGCAGCTCCCTGGTCTAGATTCATGCTTTTCTTCTTTGTGTTTTTGATGTCTTGCCAGAGTTGTTAGTTTATACTTTTTGTGTTCAGTTAAACCTAATTACTGAGCCTCCCAACACAGACAATAATCGACAGGACAGGACAGGAAATTGTGTATAATTTCACTCCTCCACATAATTAAAGGAGGTTCTTCAAGTATTCCAGTGTGTTAGGGCCTGGCAGAACACTAAAAATGTAAGAGCTGCTAGTAGCTGGAAATGGTGGCGGAGTGGGGAAGCACTATAGGTAGCCACCACTCTTGTCTCCACCTTAGTGAATGGTGGCTCATAACTGGTGGGACCTGTGGTGTGCCTTCTAGGGTTTCTTTCCTAGAAGTGTACCCCAAGAAAAACAAGCTGTGCAATGCAGGTACACAGGAAGACTCCAGTAGTCCTTGGAGACTGGCCGCCCTAGAAGTTATCCAGTGCTATCCTTGTAGAACATGAATGTGGTCTTAGATTTTAGTGTATGGTACTAGGCCAAAGAATCCTGAGAATATGTAACTCAGCATAATACAGTATTGTGGAACTAGAATTCTGTGCTATGTTGGAAAGTACACAGATTTGCTTTAGCTTAAATGTAAAGGGATAGAGGCAAGATTCACTTTAAGAAAGTAATCTGAGAGGGCTACATGGCAGGTGTTAGGCCTCACCAAAATAGTCTAATTATTTACACTTCATGTGGGGAAAAGAACACAACATGGATATCTGATGAGTCACAGAATGTTCCTTTATTATAGTAATGTTAGTGTGTCACTTCCACTCAGGCCTGTAATATGTGTGTCATTCTTGCTGTAATGTCCATTCTCTGGACAAGCTTCTGCCATTTAAAATGTCTAAACATACCTGTTAATATGCTCCTCATCCTGGCCTGTCCGGGTTAACTAATCAGTGCCTTCCATAGCCAACAATTGCTTCATTTTTTTCTGTACCAATTTCTTTGAAAATGTTCAGGAAATACAAGAGTACATTTCACTTGACCGTAGCAAGTCACTTCCAAACTGGACCTGGTGCTCTATACATATTATGCCTGTATGCAAGATCAGCTCAGGTCCTAGAACATAAGTCTACCGCTTTCCATCAGGTGAATGTTGAGATTGTAGATCTGTTTCCCGGCTGGCCAGGTTTACTTGTCACAAGAAGCCATGGTGATGTGATGCCTTACACTTATTGGTCTGTCTTGTTGCCCAGACTCAGTCAAGGTGTTTTTACATGGTACCTTGAGGTTCCCCAAACCACAGAAAAAAGCAACAGTCACTTCTATGGTTTCCAAACTTCACTACAGCTTTTCTGGTTGTACAGATGTAGGATTTCCATTATACTGTAGAAACATCATAGAGTCCTGTAGAGCCATCAATTTTTTACCACCTTCAGCATTCAAGCAACAAATATATAATCACCTACTTTATACCTATTGGCTGAGTGATGTGCCCATCTCGTTTACTACCAGAAAAGGTGTGAAAACAGATATGGAAAGGGGAGAGTTGCAGCAAAAAAAGTTATGATTAATTAAAAAAAATCATTTGGGGGAATGGCTAGGAAGTTCCTATAGAGACCCAGATATACTCAGGAGGGAGAAGAGGAAGAACTCACCTCAAAATGGTAGACCAGTTGCGATGAGGCTGCTAAGGTCCATAGGGAGATCCTGTTCGTGGGAAGTGTGGCAAGAGTAGTTGGACGTAGCAGGAAACATGGAAACTGCACTGCTGTGGCAACCACCAATATCTGATCAGTACAATGGGGTAAAAATCCACATGCTGTGGAAACGGCATAGGGTTGTTTGCCACGATGTGTGAACCCAGCCAGCAGATGCCCATCCCATGTGTGTGAATTGGCCAGTGTTTTATTTATTCAACTTTTACTTGATCCCAAGGTGATTTGCGATCACAAAATATGAATTAAATACATGCTAATATGACTGCAGATCTTTAAGTAATTATCGGGGAGATCAGTAAGAGTTAATTCTGAAAAGACAAGCACAGGGCTGTACTGTAAAAGTCTGGAAACATAAAACTGGTAAGATGAAAACAAATGTCCTTATTTAAGGCTCAAAATGTGAGTGAAGAAAGACTGGGTTGTAATCAGCAAGCATACATAAACCATAGCCATATCCGCTCAATATGGCATGAGCCACAAAACATTTTTCCTTGGGCACTGAAAATCAAACACCCAATTGTTTATAAGGGAGCTATGCAACTCCAAACTATGCGTTCATCTTTCTTAGGGATTCCTTCTACCCTCCCCTTCTTATGTGGGATTCCTTGTGCACATTGGCTAACTGCCTATGTATATTTTGTAGGACAATAAAGGAACAACATGATCATCGTCTAATGACTCAGAACAAAGCGACGCTAACGACACGTCAACATGTGTGGCTGCAAGGAGCCACGCGTGCTTACTCAGTGGTTAAAGCCTTTTACAAAGCCGGCGATGGAGGCTTTCGCGAATTTCCTTTACCCGTCCCCAAACTCAAAGCATTTATTTGTTGTGCAGGGCAGGCGTCTATTCAGAAGTAAATCCCTTCTCAGTTCAATTCGGCTTACCCCCGGGGAAGTAAGCAACAGATCGCAGCCTTCGAGAACGACTGCACACGACCGTCTGAAGGGCACGTTGCCTTCGGCGCGAAACCCATGGATTCGATTCAGTCGGGCTGACTTCTTGACGAAAGCGCACGCCCGAGCGTCGTCTGCGTAGCGGGACATCAAGCTGGGAAATGCGAGGGCCGCGTCTGCCTCCTCCGGCGGCGCTGGCGGGATATGGAACCGATCGAAACAGTTAGCGAGAGCTCAGCGCATCCTCCCGCCTCTTACCCGTGTCGGTCAATCATCCAGGCTTCGAGCCGCGGCGGCGGACCAATCGCCGCGCGAAGACGTCACCGAGTCCCGTTCCTTTCCTCCCCATCAGCACGGGCAGCCAATCGCGCGGCGCTTTCGCTCTTGCTCGCCAATGGCGGGGCAGAGCCGGTGATCCTCCCTCCTCTCCGTCCTCTTCTTGGCTTCCCTGCCACGGGAGCAGGGTTATGCCTTCCCGCTCTGACCGGGTCAGTGAGTCCGTCAGGTGGCACCGGAGAGAGACGAGGGAAGCGCGCATCCTTCCCGCCCCGGCTTTCGCCAAGCTTCTCCTAAACCTCGGATGCTGTTCGCAGAGATGTCCGGGGCGCTGCTGCTGGCGGCGGCCGCCGGGGTCGCCCTCCTCGTGGCCTTCCTGCTGTTGCTGTATCTGGTGTCGCCGGTGACAAGCCCCAAGCCACTGTCCTTGTCCGGCGCCCACGTCGTGGTGAGCAGTTAGCCGAAGGCGTTGCATGTCTTGCAGGGGGAGGGGGAGGGGGGAGGGAGGGGACGGGCAGGAAAAGCCAAGCCTTCCTCCTTTCCCCTACGGCTTTTAGTTTCTGTTATTTGCGTACGCGTTCCATGCATGCGTAATACTAAATAAATCTATATGTCGATTGCATACGTAACAGTGCATTTCGAAGGAGATTCTTTAGCCACAATAGCATCTTGTTAAAAAAAAGTTTCTGGGTTGTCTTCCTTGACTAGGAATGAGAAAGGGTGTGAATGAAATGGATTTTGTTTAGCCTACAGCAAAATGGGTGTTTCAGGCATTTCTCCTGAAGAGAGGAACCAGCTGAAACTCTAGCAACAAAACTGTAGCACTAAACTCTGTTTCTCGGCCCCGGCCCCACAACTTTCTTGTGGGAAAGTAAGTCCTGGAAAACCCTGAACCAGGCAAGATGTATTTCTTTTAATTAATGTTAATACCGCTTGGAGTGTGCTCAGAGCTAGATGTTGTTTGTTTTTAATAGCTACTGCTTGGAATCTTGTATGCAGTGTCATTCAGTTTATTACCAGTTGGTCTTAATACTCATACATGTGTGGATCATCGTTCATGCTTTAAATTACTGCAGGTGT